GTTGACTTTAGTATACAAAGAGATGAAAATTTAAACCCGGAGCTTAGCTCAAATGGTTCATAGGTCATTTTTAAGAGATGTTATCTAGCAAGTTTGGGTTTCGAATCTTAACACGTGTAATCTCATTTTAGGATATGGCTTATTTTGTACCAAAAAGAGATGAAAATTTTGTGCATAGCTAAGTTATAACATTTAAGCGAGCATATGCTTTGTAAATGGCTTATGTCCAGGGTGGAGAACCTGATTTGGGGACTGGTGCGAAGATGATTCTTCATGACAGGCAGAGAGGGAGAATACCCTTCTTTGTTCCTTCTCCTATACAAGAAGCTGATGATTCTTTAGAGGAACCCACTGTGCATGGGATAGACAAGGATGCTGTGGCTGATAATAGTCAGGTAGATGCTGCTCTTAGAGCTATCGCAAATGTTATGTTGTTCCAGCAGCAGAAAAGTGTACCTGTTAAGACAGATCTCTTCAGTGAGAATGAACTCACTAGTAAGGCAGGCAATCAGCTCCCTGCTAGTGAAATGGCTGGTGAAGTTGGAGCCTCTGATGTTGAGGTTGGAGGAACTAGCTCAGATGAATCATAGACTTTTAGTTGTAGAAAGAAGATGAAAAGGCTCATTTTCGTAGTTATGCTTGTATGTTGTAATTGTGATTTTGTTTTTCTTTATTTGAAAGATAGTTGGGCTGATTTCAATTAAATTTTGTTTTATTTATTAATTAATTCATGAAATTAAATTTTTTTATATTAATTATGGGCAATCTTTTATCCCAATCAAAGATACCAAGGTCATTTAAAGATTCTCTAATTTTCTTGATTTTCTCTAATTACATCTCACATCTTTTTTACTTTTTTTTTGTTTACTTTTATCTTCTTTCACAATTTAGTCCTTTTTATTTTATAGTAAGAAATAATAGAAATGAAAAAAAGAAAATTTTAATTGTCATATTCTTATTATATTTTTCTTAAAAATTTTAAAATTCATTTATATTATCCGCAAATTTTTTATTATGGAAGTTACTCATAACTCATAAGTATATAATTGGGTTATACTCACATCAAGCAATTAAGGATGATAACGATTCAGTTCAGATCGGATTTGATTTGATTTTTTTAATATTATATAATATTATAAAAATTTAAAATTTAATTCAAATTTGAATCGAATCTTCATTCGATCTAATCTAAATTGAATCAAATTTTATCGATTCAGTTCGTTTGATTTATCAATTTTTAATTTTTTAATTTTTATATATTATTTTAATATATTTAAGTAAATTTTGATATAAAATTATTAATTTTATTTTATAAAAATTTAAAATATATATAAATTAAAAAATATATATAATTCGATTTATTTCTTCAATTTTTTATCTTTCAATCTGAAATTCGATTTAATTTAATATATACATTTAATATTCAAATTTGATCCAAATCAAATAAAAAAATTTAATCCAACCTAAAAAATAAAAAGTAACTTAAATGCAATTTAGAATTTCAATGCACGTAATCTAGTTTAGACATTTTTATTGGAATTTATATTACTAAAAAAAGCATAAAAACAATAGTTTTTGTAAACTTAATGCTGTGAATATTAGTAATTTTTTAATGATATAATAAGATATTTTATCACTACATTTTTCAAGGATCCTTTATTATTTGAATAGTATTTTCATCATTTTGAAGGATCTTTTATGATTTGAATATTGTAAGAATGTTGGACCAAAGCTAATGAAAATCATCATTTAAAAATTTTATTTTATAAAACAATCATCAAGAAAGATGGCAACCTTGGTAAGAAGATAAACATACTTATGAAAGAAGAAAAGGTTTACCCAAACAGGCCACTTTTGGCATTCTCTTTGGGATTTCCATTTTTCTGCTAGCCAGCTTGTGTTACTTGTATTCAAGCACACTAATCTCATGCAAAATTTATTCATAGACTTAGTTCATATTTTCATCATATTTTTTTTTAGATGGTTTGCATCCCAAAATTAAGAGCGATTAAAAATCGATTTGAACTAATTAAATCGATCAAAACTAAGTGAATTTGATTGAATTGATTCAGTTTATTTAATTTTAATTATAATCAATTTTTTAAATTGATTAAATTGATTAACTAGGTTTTTTTTTTATTTTTAAAATTGATAATCGAATTAATTGAATTAATTGATTTTTTAATAAGTAAGGATAAAAAAATTGAGATAAGTATTTTTATTTATTTTTTTTATAAAATATTGTTAAAATTATTAAATTTTTTAATGATTTAATTTGAATGATATTTGAGTTTGAATTTTATTGAATTAAATTTATAATTAAATAATTATTTATAATAAAAATTTTAATTATTTAATCAAATCGATCAAATCGAACTGATTTTGTTCAGCTCGATTATAATCTGTTATTTAAAAATTTTTAATTAATTTAATTATTTATTAAATAAAAATCAATTAAATCGATTATTAATTTTTTTAAACAGATCCTATCAATTGCTCTCTCCTAACTGAATGGTTAAATACCATCGATAGCGGCATAGTATTCACCACAACAAGGTTTAGCTTGCTATTCTTTCTGCACTTTATATTTTTCCTAGTCCTGTTGTCTGTATATCTAAGATTTTTGGTTTTATTTTTTATTTCACTAAGGTTCTTGTCTGACTCTTTACTACTCCTTTTACGCTGCTTGTCTTTGAAAATTAAAAGATCATTGCTTCCATAGGTTAAACAGGTGTTTGTGCTCAATCATACTCCTATGATCGATATCATCATCTTCGAAATAGATGAGTGCATTTGCTTTCATTATGCGGAAGCACCCTCGATATGTTCGTAAATACTAGTGCGAACATACGTACCTAAGAATAATATTTATAGATTTAGATGATTACTGTTGTTCATTGCTTTTGAGAGAACTCCTGAATTTTATTTTGTTACATTTGGTTGTATGCCAGGTTTTAAAACTCACCAGTAACAGCCTGTTACTCCAACTTTCATGCAATTCTTTAATTGTATGTTTTCAAATGAAAATTCTTATTGAAAAATATATTAAACCAAAATTAACAATTAACTAAAACAAGATTAAGAATCAAACACCAGATGAAAACACGTGCCTAATTTCGATTCGCAAAGATAAAAAGAGAACAAGTGAAGTAAAATTAAAAAACTTAATAAATAGTGCATAAACAGTAACATTTGGGACTTTACTTTCTATTTATTGTTATAAATATTTTCATGTTGATTTTTTTTTTAATTTAAGATTTTTTAGTGTTCGATAATTACTTTAAATTTTGATTAATCTAAAATCGAATCAAATCAAATCTCTTAAAAGGATAAATTTTTTTAAATTTATTTTTTACATTCACATAATTTAAAATTAAGATTTTATTCAAAGAAATCAAATTTTTTATTACTCATACCAATAAATATTGATTTTTTTGATACATTGATGATATTGTAAATATTTATTTATTTTATTTATCTTTAAATCAAAGCCTAAATGATCCAATTTTTCTGTTTTTCTTTTCAACAAAATAGAACTCAAACTATTGATATTATGATACTTGAAAATGATATCCAGTCAACACTTCAAAATAAAGAAGTAATTTTTTATTAATTAAATATATTTACTTATGTAGAAAAATAAAATGACTTATTTGCATCTGATTGAGACCCATTAGAAAAAAAAAAAATACTGATAACGATAATTCCGCCTTGATGCGCGTATGGAAGATTGTGGTGAAGCCCATCGCTTTCGTTTTGATTTTGTCGTAACAAAACAAGTTTGACTTTAATAATACGATTAGTATTAAAAGAAGATAGCAAATCACGTTAGGATGTCCATTGATCATGTTTTTTTGTCGGTCCGAGAAATTTCCTATTAGATTTGCTGGCTTGGCAAAAGAAAATTATGAATATTGTTGAGGTATTTGCGTTAGGTGAGGGTAAGATTTGTTAAGAGATGAGTTAATGAATTTGGTAAATTTATTAGAGGAAAATAACTTAGGGAGTGTCGGAATTAAAATTCTATAACGTGATTTGATGTTTAATAACGTTTTTATCAATTTTTTTTATATTTTATGATCAATTTTTTATTAATAAAAAAGTATTTTTTATTAGTATTTAAAATTTAAATAGAATGTAATTAAAATTTATAATTTAAAATATAATACGATGATATAATATAAAATAAAAAAATAATATAATTTAAAATTTTAATAATAATTATATATAAATTTAATTAATATAAAAACATATTTTATATTTTTATATTATTATAAATTATAACATATAATTTTTATATAAAATATAATTTAAATATATGAATTTAAATATTTTAATAAAAAAACAGTAAGAGCTAAATCTGGATCAAAATAAAATAATATTATGTATCACGCATCAGAGAGACCAAGGCTCAGGCATCAGAATCAACGCGTGGGATCCAGTTAGGTTTAGATTCTAAGACCTTGACAATACTGAGGTTAGCATTACATCTAATTTATGTATTTATATTTATTTATTTTATGTTTAATAAATATAAAATATAAAATTATTATATTATAATTTATATTAATATATTAAATAAAAAATATTTTTTAATTTTTATTAAATTTATATAAAATTTTTGTTAAATTTTAAATTTTATTTGTTTTATCGTTGTACTATGTTGTTTAAAATTACAAAATCTAATTAGGACTTAGCAGCCAATAATAATTTAATAAATTTGTTTTATAAAAGCTAGCTCCCGTTTTATTCGAGTCCTAAAACGACGCCGCAGAAGTCAGTTATCTCCTAACTATAAATAATTTCCCATTTTCATTGGAGGAAGACTAAAGTACGTCACTGTTTCAGACTTCAGAGAATCTCTCTCTCCCTCTCTCTTTCCTTTTGCATGGGACATCTAAAAAAGTTTCGTATTGTCAATTTTTATTGGTAAAAGAAAAAGTCTTTTTTAAATAGTTATATAAAAACAAAATAAAAATGGAAAAGTGAGTAGGGAGATCTCTCCTGGTGTAGGTCGATGTGCACCAGCATTGCCAGTTGGCAGCTCCTATTTAAAATTTTCTTTCCTAAAATTTTCTCAAAAAATTTCCATTTTTACATCACAAAAACTTAAAGAAGCAATTTTTTTCTTATAAAAGTTTCTCATTTCCACTTTGGGTTTTTCAAGCTCATTGAAAATTTGCTATTTTTTTTGCTGGAAAAAGAGATCTGATATAAATATGAATGTGGGTTCTTCAAGATTCTGTTCCTCTGGCTTCTTCATCCATTATTGATCTTTTTTTTTCTTTCTTTTTTGTTTTTGTTTTAAAAAGTGCAAAAGTTAAACATTTATCAGAGACAGAGGGTTCAGACTTAAACAAAAAAAAAAAAAAGCTTTGAATATTTGACAGGCAAAAAAGCTGTTGAAAATATTAACTCTGTCTTTAAAATTTTGGTTTTCTTGGCCTATAAGGGTAGTTTTAATTCTTCATCACCAACGCCACCCACCCAATACCGCGTTTTTGGTGTTTTCTCAGACTCAAAACTCAAAACAAGCTTCTACATTGATTTATGCTAAAACTTGGTTTTTGTCTAAAAAGCTTGAAAAAAGGAAAATAAAAACTTTTCTTTAGTGTATTTTTGTTGTTTTAAGTTGAAATGAGAAGTACCCTTTTTTTTATCCTTGCTGTAGTTTAAGAGAGTGTTGAAAGTGTTGAAGATTTGGTGGGATAGGTTTGAAGACTTGGAAAATTCTGTCTTGTTCTTGAAGTTGAAGATCATAGTTTGTTGGTTTTAGTGTTAATGTATGTAAAATAAGTTAGTCTAAGATGAGCGTTACAGTTGTTGTTTTTGAGATTTGGTGAGACAAATTTCTAAGACAGGAAAACATTTTTGTGTCTTGTTCTCGATGTCGGAGATCACAGATTGTTGGTTTTCTGTGTTTGCTTTAATGTGGGATTAGCGTAATTTAAGACACAGTTGCAGTACTTGTGTTTGAAAGTTTTTGGTGGGGGGAATAAGTTTGAAAGAAAGGTTTTAAAGGGTTGTGAAAAGAGTTGTTTAAAAATGGTGGAAAGTGTGGAGAATGATAAAGAAATGAGATCACTGGCATTAACGCCAACATGGTCTGTTGCTACTGTTTTGACAATCTTTGTTGCAGTTTCTTTGATTGTGGAGCGCTCCATTCATCGCCTAAGCAACGTGAGTAGCTGGTTTTCAGCTTCCAATTTTCGGTTTTTTTATCTTGTTTGTAGCTTTTGTTAAATAAATTTATGCAGTGATGGCTTTTTAGATAGAAATTCATTAGACTCTCATATGATAGGATAATGTCTTCTATCAATAATTATTTTGGACAACAAAATTCTGTTTGGTTTAAAATTGATACTTTATTCTTTAATTGGATGACTAAATGTGTTGCTGGTAGCTTATAATTGGTCTTTAAGAGGCTAATTATTGAGTATTGACAAAGCAATTTCCCAATTCACTGCAAAAGCAATTTGATTGTGGTGTCTATCTTGTACCTTTGTTGACAGATATGTGATCTGCAATTATGTTTTGTTTTGTTAGAAAGAAATTGAGTAAGATGCTTTTTTGTGATACAAACTTAACAATTGTGGACATTAATGCTCTTGCCTACAGACCCTTCCAGCTAGAACATTTTGGTATTTCTAGCATGTTCAACTTATTTTCAATTAAATTTAAAACCTTTCTTTCTTCTACCTATGAATACTGCTGTTGATGGTATATAGGTTTTAAGAGATTATGTGTAGGCAAGAGTAGGTTCAAATTTGTTAGATATGAACATAGCACGGTCATTTGGATTTTGGACATTATATGAAGCTATAGTTTTTGCTACTCCTTTTTGCATCAAATTGATCAACTTCTTTAAACTCTCCATTGATTAAGAAAGTAATTTACACTGACAAAATGCATTCACTCCAAAGATTTCAGGTGAAGGTAAATATAATTCTGAATAATGATATTGTATCACTGGACTGCTAAACATAATTCTTCTGGTAATGGGGTTCCTGGAATGTTTAAAATGGTTAACATCGTATGAATTTTCTATTATTTTGTTTCAGTGGTTAAGGAAAACAAATAGAAAACCTCTACTTGCGGCTGTTGAGAAGATGAAAGAAGGTATTTCCATATATTTCTTCCTGCAACTGATAATATTTTCTGATTAGGTGTTGACTAACAATTTTTCATAAACTAACTTCAGTTACCTTTCTTTTTGTTTGTCATATTTATGGTCGCCTTATTTCTTACTTCTGGACTTCTGTCTTCAGAGTTAATGCTACTTGGATTCATATCGCTCCTTCTAACAGCAACCTCAAGCACAATAGCTAATATTTGCATTGAATCAAAGTTCTATGATAGTACCTTTGCACCATGCACCAGGTCTGAGATTGATGAAGACCTTGAAGATAATTCTTCTAAGGAGCGTAAGCTTTTGACGGTTTCCAGTTTTCACTTATTTAGGAGAATGTTGAATGGCGTGAACCGGAATACCTGCAAAGAGGCATGTGACTAATCCATATATTGACTCCAGATTCTGCTATTTTAGTTTATTTTGTTCTTTTGTTTTTTGGCTATTGCATTTTTTTTGCTCTATGATCATGTTCTTTTAACTATTTAATTATATATGCAGATACTTAATACTCACATGATCTATCATCTTGAAATTATTCTGTTCTGCAGGGTCATGAGCCATTTGTTTCATATGAAGGTCTTGAGCAGTTGCATCGTTTTATCTTTGTCATGGCAATCACACATGTATCTTACAGTTGCTTAACAATGTTACTAGCAATTGTGAAGGTTGGGCCTTTGATTGTAATAAAGTAACTTCAACTAAAGTTTTACAAATATTGATCTCACTGTCTGATTGTTGTAGTAATTACATAGGTTCTTTGGATACTTGAAATCTTTCTTTCTTGCAAGCATATTTTGCATTTAACAATGCAAAACTTCTTTTTCCAAGTAGCTGATCAAATGCAATTAGTGATAAGGATGATACATACTAGTTTTGTTGTGTAAAGTATTTTTAGGCAATGGATTAGAGACAACCTGTCTCTTCATTTTTTTTCTTTTGGGGACTATTACGCAAATATATGCAGTGATTCTCCTAGCTAGGGTTGAGTTTGTTATTTTATTAATAGGCAGTTGATAACAGTAAGTACAGAATGTGATTATTCAAAGCCAGGGTTAATGGTTCCAACCTGTGTAAACACTGAAAGGAAAAAGAATAGTTGTAATATAAATACAGATGGTAAACAATCTTAAGCAATCTATTGTGCAGATGATTTGTTTCTGTCAAAAACAGTAGAATCTGAACTAAGTAAACTTGTTTTTATTTCTGATGAAAGCATGAAGTTAACAGTTTTATGTTGCTGTTATTTGCTTACATGTAGATATTGTTAACTATTTTGTAGATTCATAGTTGGAGAGCGTGGGAGGATGAAGCTCATAAGGACCAAGATGACTTATTAAATGGTAAGTTCAATAGTATATTATTGGTAGGTTCAGATAATAGTTGTCTCTGTTCATTTATGTTGATTAAAGTCTTCTGATGGAGAACTGATGCAGTAACTATACAGTTGCACAGTTTTTAAATTCCTGAGGATGGGTTTTGATGATTACTTTGATGTTTCAATACATGTGATCATTTGTGGCTATAGTTATGTAAAAGATCTTTCAATTTTTTTTTATTATTATATGATGATTGGAATTTACTTGCTACAGAAAAAGCAAGAGTCTCGATAATGCGAAGACAAGCAACTTTTGTCATAATGCACACGTCGAACCCCTTGACCAAAAATAGTCTTCTTATCTGGGTGGTAGGTACAGAACATTTCTTCTTGCTTTGTTTACTTTGAGAGTTGATTCATCTATTTCATTGTGATGCTCTTTTATTTGTTATTATTTGCACAATAATGCTGCAATTTTTTTGTGCTAGACATGTGCTACTGTTAGCTACTCATTCTTTTGGCATTATTCTCAATGAAGTTATAATTTATCATGGAAAAAGGACATATAATTTACTGGAAGGGAGGACAATGGAGATTTTCTCTATTGTAGAATTCATTCTCACGTAACTGAAAGCAGATCACATAGTTAAATTTGCTTTAAGCGTGATAGGACAATTTTAAGTTTCTTCCCAATTCTTCTTTTTAAATTTTCATACCTATCCTTTGAATAAGCAGTTCCTCCAACTTTTTTCTTTTTCTCTTGAGGTATGAAGGACTTATATAATAAATTTCTCGGAAGGGCATCAATTGCTTTAAACAACTTCAGTTATAGTTAAAAATGATCATTTTTTTCTATTATGATATTTATTTCTGTTATAAATTCTTATTTTCAATTAGCAGAGATGTTTCTTCCAACAATTTGTGCGTTCGGTCGATCGTGCAAACTATCTGACTCTCCGCAATGGCTTCATCATGGTATGTGTTATTTACAGTCGTATTTGTTGAAGTATTCCTTTTAAATTCAAGGAATGGTTATGATATTCTTGTTTTTGGTTAAAATTGTGGACCATGAAATAGTACAATCTGTACTTTTAAAACATGTTTATTTCTATTACTATTGTATTTGTGTGGTTTTCCTTTGACTGGCATGATTAATGGTATGGGGTACGTATATATTCTTGTGCTTCTATCTCATTATTAACATATACCATACTGAAAAACTTGGTCCCTTTTGTTCTTCCACTTTCTTTTCTTGTATGGTGAGGAAAATTTAAATGTGAAAATGTCTTGATGGTAAATTTCCCATTACAGTTTATGAATGTTTATGCCTTTTGTGTTTCCTATTCATGGCAGAATCACAACCTGACGTCAAAGTACGATTTTCACAGCTATATGATTCGTTCTATGGAGGAAGAATTTCAAAGGATAGTTGGTGTTAGGCAAGTAACGTTTTCATAAAAAACTTTCTGAATGTTTTCCCTGTCAAATTGTCCCAAAAGTCTGAGATTGCTCTTACATCATTCATATAAAAAACTTTCTGATTTTTTGGTTATTCCCTGGTGTGGTAAGATTCAAGCCTCACTGGGATTGTCCTATCTATTTTTTTTTTTTTTTACTTTTATTTTTTGTTGATGCCACTAACTAGGAAATGTGTATTTTCTTTCCCGATTTGTCATACTTGAAACTACTATCAAGACCATGCAACTTATATTTCTATTCTTGGGTGTCATTGTGGGCTTCATGGTTGAGCGGATTTTAGGATTGCAGATTGCTAAAGTTCTTTTTGTTTAATATCCTGCAGTGGTCCACTTTGGGGATTTGTTGTTGCCTTTATGCTGTTCAATGTGAAAGGTATTGTAAATTGTAAATTGAGATTGATTTATTATGTTTATGCTACTTGGCTGTAATTTTACCCTGAGTATTTTTCATGGTTGTTACCTCTCAAGTGAGTCATTTTGCTGGTTGTTTGAAGTGCAAAGTAGTATGTAGGAATTACAATTCTCATCTTGTCGCGTATCCGAACTTTTGAATAGTGTGTGTTCATATTATAGGCAGTTCTGCCAACTCACTGGGTTCATGATTCATTGGCTATTTTCCATTCTTACAGGGTCTAATCTGTATTTCTGGATAGCAATCATTCCCATTACTGTAAGTCTTTTGCCTTTTCTTGTATTACTTTTCGAGTTAACTGTTATGATGGATTTCCTTGACTAGAATTTCTAATGGTGCTCGTGTATACACGGCAAATGAACACTTGAAGAGCCAACATAGTGTTGTACATACAGAAAATGTAGCTAGGGTGATTTCTAGAAATATTCTTTATATGATCTTAACCTATCATGTTATTCTGATTTTGTATGATCATAACTTCATGTGCAGCTTGTTCTTCTTGTGGGTGCAAAGCTACAGCATGTCATTGCAACCTTGGCGCTAGAGAATGCTGGCATAACTGGCTATTTTACTGGAGCAAAGCTGAGGCCTCGAGATGAACTTTTCTGGTTTAAAAAGCCGGAATGGTTGTTGTCCCTTATCCATTTCATTCTTTTCCAGGTTGTTATTTAGGGCATTGCAGTCAAGTAGAAGATTTTTGTACATTTCAGCCAGCCATAAGAAAAAGTTATTTATGACTTCCATTTCATAGAACTAATGTTCTCGTCTCATTTCTCCACAGAATGCATTTGAACTGGCTTCATTTTTTTGGTTCTGGGTACTTTCTCTTCTCCGACTGGATTGGTATCTAATAAGACTGCTGAGGATGATTTTAAGTTGAACATTGCACAATCTAAAATTGCCTTCAAAATTCAATCCTGTCTTATGATAGCATGAATCATTCTTGGTTGCTATATTTTTCTGACATTGGTTAGTTGCTTGTTGTAATTTCAGTGTCTGAACATGTACTAAAAAGCCCTCAATAGAACAGGAAATATAAAAATAACAATTGAACTTTGATATTATAGGCAGGCTATGTAGGTTCCTGGCATGTTAATTGCAGTCTGTTGATATCATTGCAGTGGCAGTTTGGCTATAATTCATGCTTCATCAGAAACCATACGCTTGTTTACATACGACTTATTTTGGGGTATGAGTATATTTTAGCTAGTCTTGATTTTATTGTGCAAATTTCAGTAATTACGGGTCCTTACTTGATTGTTCTTATCTCACAGGTTTGCTGGGCAATTTATCTGTAGCTACATCACTCTGCCACTCTATGCTTTGGTCACTCAGGTATTATAATTGTTCATTAACATCCCTTTCATTTGGAGAAAATAATAGAAGCAAATTGGAACATGAATAAATCACCTGTCTGTAGAGGATTAGCAGCTGAAAAAGTTGTGCTAACTACTGTAATCCGTAATTTGTAGCATATTGATGTCTGCTGATTCTTCAAACTTTGGTCGTGAGTTTTAACATTTTCTGACCTTAACCACAAAAAAGTAGGGCTTCAAAGTAACTTTTATGGTATTATAATTTACCTCAAATGTGCTATGTAAATTGTTTCAATGGCCAAAAACATTTTAACAACAGGTGATTTTTGTGCCTTTGATCTCATTTTCAAATGGTTTCCTGCAGCATCTACTAAAATTTTCTGTCCTTTCAGATGGGAACAAACTATAAGGCAGCACTAATTCCGCAACAGATAAGGGAGACAATCCACGGATGGGGTAAGGCGGCAAGGAGAAAGAGGAGGCATGGACGTTTCACTGATGATTCAACAATACATACAGAGACAAGCACAGTAATGTCACTTGAGGAAGATGATCACCAGTTGATTGATGTTCATGAAGATGGCAATGGTACATACACTGAGATAGAGTTGCAACCGCCACCTAATGTTACATCCAGTCCTTCCCCAGTTGCTAATGAAACTTCGAGCAGGGTTGGTACACCTCTTCTTCGACCATCTGCTTCTATTTCTGCATCAACCATCTATAGTTTTGAGAAGGATGATCTCCAAAGATCATCTTCTATGCCTGCTAGAAGAGAAAGACACAAAAGTACAGCAGTTGTGTAGTAATAGTTTTAGGTACAGGAAAAAGAGAATAACAAAGTGAATATTATTACTGTTTAGGCTTTGGTATGGTTCTTGAAAAGTAGGAGGAAATCATATGGAAAAGTGCTTGAATTTCATTCCCCTGTCCAAGATTCATGGGTTCACAGATTGTAGCATGTTGTTAAGTTGTAGCACGAATTTATAAAACAAAGAAATCTACACAAGGGCCAGTTACACACCGGCACTCTTTGGATTGCTGGGATTTCTGGAACTTGCCTGAGGAAATACTGTTCTTCAAGAGTTTCCCACAGTTCTACGCAATACCAAGACAATTAATGGCACAACCATTGAAACTCAACAACAAACAAGTTATTGCTACAGGGCTGGAGACACAATTCCTCCAACCCAACATCACAACTCTTCTACATTTAAGGGAGGACCCCATCAAAAATGTTGGGGAAGCTCTTAAACAAGCTGTTACTGGTAAATTTATGAACATTTAAGCAGGTCAACATTCAAGCTTGTTCGCCTCTACCTTCTGATTCCATGGCCTTTATACTTTCAGCCATCATTTGGTCTCTGTTATGTTTTTGTCTTTCGACAGTAACCATATAGAGGCCTAAACAAGATATTTTCATGTTCTAGGTTGTAATTTCCATCTTTTTCGAACAGAATTTAATTTCTATTTCTTCTGCAGTGGTTACAACTAATTTCATAGGATAGGACCAAAGATACTACCAATACGATAGTTGCACTTTAAATCTGCACATGGTAGTTTTCAATATATATATATATATCAACCATGCCTATAAAACATAAGAACAATCTGATTGACTCATATGAGAAGAAAAATGGCAAAATAAATGGTGCACTAGCAGGGTAGAAAAGACCATTTTAAAAGTTAAAAAGAAGTTCGTAATTAAAGAAACTAATTAAATGGGCCATTGCTACCAGCTGGGCACCCATGATTTTGGGTAATATTTTTCTAGAATAAAGTGATCCTATACGTGAAAGTAAAGATGTCTCTGAGGAATAATGTCCCTTTTTGTCTCTTTCAATGCTTATGGTTCTGCCATAAAAAGTCGACTTCGTAAGCACCGCACATGGACAGTTGCCACCCCCATTAAAGTGAAATTTGAAGAGAATTTTCCTTCCTTCCTTAGGGGAAATTTTGAACAAAATAGATTCACCAATGGTGGCAGTTGAACCTTGCTGCGTATTTTTAAGCATGTTGGGATTAAAATTGATGATCATAATTCAACCTGATTCACATAAGAGAACTAAACACTGATGGTCATCATTTTGACAGGTGAGAGAAATAGAACATATTGTTTAGGACCACAAATATTCATGATCATTGCTATCAAATATATACAAGATAAAATGGTTAAAAGATTTATGCACAAAGAAACCAGAAATGGCAATGATAATGAGAATGTAAGAACACTATACATCGAATAATAAGATTATAAGATCATTGGGTTAAGTCTCTGCATCTCACTTTGGTCATTGAGAGTTTCAATGAGAAGGGGAGGTGCATGTTGGGCTGTCCCTTGGTGCTCCTCTAAATCCTGGCAGAACGAAAGAATTATGGTATTGATCGACATCTCCACCACGGCAAAGAAGAGAGTTGCAACTACATAACCAAGAACCCAACAAACCTGCAAAAATATAATGTAAGCAGGAACTTTATACAATCGTTATTTGAATAATTTTAGAAAACTGCAAGCAGCAAAAAAGTGATTTCTCATCAATAAAAGCTAGAGCTTAATATGTTCTCTTGCTCAAGGTGCATGTGTCACAGGCTTTGATTTTGAGCCTAGCAATCGTGCAGCCTTAGGCAGGAACTTACGTCCAAGTATGCATAAGTCAATCTTACTCACAGGACACAACACATGCATGTATAAATGTCAATCTCTGACCTATAAAAACATTACCATAAATAATGAATAGATAGCATACCAGCACAGGAAGCAATGGGGAGGATATTTTGTTATGAGCAGTTCTATACTGGTGGGAATCCAACATTAGGAAACCAAAAATAGCACTTGAAAGGCTGACACACAACTTTCCAAAAAAAGTATAACATCTCCTATCACATTCACCCTCCCTATTCAAAAGATTTTATTCATGATCAATTCTGTTGCGATTGCAGAAGTCCTACAGAAGCTTTTCCCTGTTACAGCAATCTGCAAGAACAGTAAGTTAATACTTGAGATAAAGTTAAGAGTGGCAGGCAACAAAAAGTAAATCCAATAAATTTTGCCAAATAGATTCCTAATACGGTCTAATTGCAACCCGATAATAAGTCCTATAACAAAGTTCTCCAATGTGAAAAGAAAAAGTGATCGCAAAAATGGCAGTTGTAACAACAAAAGTGATAAGGATGAAAAAGAGACAGCTTTTGTTTGTTATTTGTTCTTTTACGCCTCATTTTACATCTACTATGCAAGTAAATAACTAAAGTTGGAGGATGGCATGTAGTATCAACTTGTTAGGTTTCCATGGGAAGGCTGGTCTAAGACATTTTCCAAAAAGAATAAGCAAATGTATATTTCATTCTCCATTACATTCCCTTTTTTTTCTTCCTTGGAGAATATCTGATAGGATAGATGGATACACAGAAAATCGTACAAGCTTTTGGAAAATGTATGGACATTTTCAGTTTTTGCAAAACTAGTTCTGGAAGATTACCATTATATAAGCATTGCGATTCACTGATTTTATTGTCCACTCAACACATGCCAAACATCCCTGTGAAGTACTATATCCCATCTTTCCAAACCAACTATCAGGTGTAGTACCAGCAACTTTGAGTGTCCAACGAATTGACTCAAGAATGAAACGAATTGATTCCACAAAGGATACGATCAATGAGCCAAGGGCCACAGATCCAACGCTGTATTGTATAAGGTGCTTCATAGAGGCAAAAACAGGAAGAAATGGGATCACTGGCTGCAAGAGTGAACCACAGGCATAATCAGGGAAGGGATAAATCATTGATAATAAATTACTCCTTAAGAGAAAAAGAAGAGAAAGAGAAAGAAAATTCTTAAGTAATGTAATGTCCACACCTATAACCATATGCTTTATTTTGTTACTATATTACTTAGAAATTGATACAAAATAATTGGTGTTATTTTGAAATAGATACAAAATAAACTAAAGAATGTGACAATCCTGCATAAGCTCTTCAAAGATCTTTGGCATTTGTATAAACCCATCCCTAGATTAATGAAGCTTCCAATTTTGCTTGATTCGTGAGGTTCTAAATTGTTTGCTGTGAGGCTGTCTACAACCATGACCACCGGTATAGAAATTTGTATATCGTAGAAATTAAATTGTTTGTTTCCCCATAGAAACAGCATATATACCTGTAAAAATATACAATGGCTTAGTAACTTACCAATGTTTCACCACGAGCCCAATAGTAAGAGGCAACACAACCCGCAATCACAGTTGAAGTGCACGCTATAAAAAATTGTGTAGCCCAGTAACAACCAAACAGGTGGAAAAGATGGCAACAGAAATATGAGGGGTGTAATGGATGCTACAACCACAGCAACGATCACAATTCACTTTTTTTGACACAAGATCATAAGCACAGCAGTCAGTATTACAGTTGTTCTGGACGACCTGACCAGAACTAACAGATGGAGGCCAGCTGATATCCAGAACATGTAAAAAATAGCAAGAACTGCATATGGAATGATTGGAAAAATTATCAGTGCATGAACTTCTCCTATGACCTTTGCAGCAACCTGCATACAATTGGAAGCATAATATCATTTTTTAGCTCTTTTTTTATATTATGAAACCAAAATTACCATTACAACAAAAGAAAAATAATAGAAAAACCAGACAACTGCATTATAGACCAAGGAAAAATGGTGAGCAAAAATAGACACTGGTACACCCAAAAATGGGAAAAATGCATGATTAGAAGGAGCTTTATCTTGTCTATTCTGATATTCCATTGGCAATGTCAGAACTCACATTATATTTAAACCTTCAGATGCTATAATAGGAGTTTAGAGGTTTTTATACTGCCTATAGCTCAATCTCATAGAAACATCCAGCTGGTGCTGTACAAGTGCTAGCCTAAATTAGTACTTGACTTCTAGGAAGACAACATGTAACTTGGCACTTCCTACCTCTGGACAAATTATTGACCGTAAGCCACAAAGAACTTAAAATCTAGGAAGAAACAAAATTGGAAGTCTTAACAGACTACTTTAAGCCACACTGGGAGATGCTAAGGCAACTTAAGTGATTGAATCATTTGCATGCTCCTAGATGCAGAAAGCACTATTTTTCCTTTTCCTTTCTTTTCAAAGCCAAGTTACCCAATGGTATTGGTTTCAATGTAAAGTTGTCTCCTGCTTACTACATATGATAATTAGATCATACTTGCCTTGAGGACTGATGTTGCCATTACGATGCGGCGTACAATTGCAATTGATGTTAGGATGGAAACAACCATAAAAAATGTCATAAGAATGGCAACAGCACGTAGATGATTAACTTCCTGAAAGAAGCAAATACTTAGTATGTAACAAAATACCAATATACCTATTATGATAAAAGCTTACTAACAAAGACAAAAACAATAACCCACCCGTCCAAAAATATGTATGCATGGATCATGCTCACCAATGATAGGGGAGATAGCATCATTCCCGATCCATCCAGCTAAAAGGCAAGAAGAACAAGATAAATTTAGCATTTTATTGAAACTAGTAGTTGTCCTTGCATTCAAATACATACAAAAATGAATTAGACCATATCTATTATAAATTCCAAATTTATGGCATCCAGTAAATAATAATAAGTGGTAAGAGGTATACTTCTAAACTTTTAAGTAGTAAAACATTGTAACTGTTATTATGATAATGTTAAAGAGGGCAACTGTGATCCAAGGCATCGCAGCAACAAAATGACGAATCATTAACAGCCACATTACTGAAAGAAATAGTGGCAAGAGCCCTCCACAAATTATCAATACCGCCCATGCTTTTCCAATATCAGCCATGTAACGCTGCAATAACCCATGAGATTAACTTTAAATTCTAGAACATGTATATTCATATTTAACAAAGTTGGATAATGAAACTTTTTGAAAAGCATGATTTATAAATTGTTTGACATAATAACTATGAAATAAGGAGCCACATGGGGGATAGCATTGCCCGATAACCAATAAGTTGACAGAACCTAGAACACACCAAGATAAAATGCGGAAATGTAGCAACAAACTTATTATATAGGCATAGGAGAGTGATCAACTAAGTATTGATACATTTCAAGGAGTTTACAGTACAAACACAACCCCCACCCCCCTTTTCATCCCCATCCCAAACAAGCAAGGCACGAAATACATCTGTGACAAGCAAAAAGGTACTGCAGGAAAGTAGTTCAACCTTTAAGACAGATGACCGAGAATTGATGGACCTGTGAATGGATTTATCTATTACAATATCCTCATTGATATGCACTCCACCCATCCGTTGCCAATGCCGCAAAGATGTGTTTGATGCACGAGCAATGAATTGGCAGCTCCAGTAAACTG